CCATCCCCTCAAGCGATCAATTCGTAATTCCAGTCTTGCTATTCTGCGTAGAGCACCTCGTGTTGTGAGCAGCGTAGCTCGGCCGGGAAGCCTGTCGTCGGCTCCGCGCGGAGCGCTCTGTAATTCCCTGCGGATGTGTTGTGCATGGGGCCCTGATGCGTCCAGTAAGAACTCGTTTCCTGCGTACAGCAGCGGAGTGGCGATTGTGTGTAGCGCTGGGTGAGAGAGGAGAATGGGCAGCGGGTCGACGGTTGACCTAGTGCACGGGCAGAGACATATGGGTGTAGCAGATGTGACAAGTGGCTTCAGGATGATGCTGAGGATATCCACGGGGAGGTCGAGGAAGTTGAGGCCGTTGACCTCCTCTGAGGTTGTCATGACGGCGGCGGTACCTATGATGACGACTCTGGACACTGATCTGAGCAAGATATCCCTGGTTCATCCTCTGACTATGGCATTCTACTATCCAGACCCTAGATGCCTACAGCCCAATATTTCCGGGTTGAGTGACGCTGCAGCCTTCTTGCGAAACATGCCGTTTGAATAGGATTGTGTTGTGAGGTTCAGGTTGAGCAGCCAGTGGCGGCTAAGCATGATATCCCCGCGGCCAATAAGCGGGGTCTCTAAAGAGCTTCTAGAAGCAGTCCAATACAACAAGATAAGATTCTAGACTCAGATCAAGATCGCCGCTGTACGTATATGGATGGATATGAAGCGGTTATTTCGACACGAGATTGGTAAGATAGAGTTGTTGATATGAATACGTTTGCCGATTATTGCAAACTGTTGATGATCCATATATACACTAGGGGAAGGGAAAAAAAACTCACCACCTCGATCCTAAATGATAAAAAGACTTGGGTAACTTAGCCTAAGTTTAGGATAAATTTAGGATACATTTAGGATACATTTTGCTTAGTTTATTTTAGTATCTCATTGGTATATGGGCAACCTTGGAAGGTCCATTTTGCGCCTTGAGATTCATTATCTGGTCACCATTGCCTGCACACTCTCACCTTTCCAGTCCATTTTCCCACTGGCATTCCTTTACCAAAAGCCTCTTTACATTCAACAATGAACCTATGGTCCAAGCATGTGTAGCACATGTCTATTACATTGGTACCTAAATACCTAAGCAACCTCTTTTTCGCATCGCATCCCTAGACTGAGTGATGAAAACGCCGTGAAATATTGCAGCTTCAATGTACAGAGGAGAGAGCCAGAAGAATTCCAGAAAAACCTAACGCCCAAGGGACATTGATGTGTCTACCATTGCTTGGTCCTCTTACCTCTCTTTGTTAAAACCACCCTTTAGCACATGTCTCCCAAGTGTGATCCACGTCCTTGTGTTTTGCCTCGAGCTTTCTGTTGCAATCAGAGAGCTTCTGGATTTCTTCATCTCGACGCTTGATCTGATCTTCCAGTTGCCGAACATACGACTGCAGATCGTGCTCCTTTTCGGCCGCATCCTTGAGGCTTGCCTTGAGACCTTCGACACGATTGAAGAGTCTTCTGAAGTCTTTGCCTCCATCTTTGAACCTCCGATGACATCGACGCTCCAGCTTCTTGATTTGCGCGTCTTGTTGTTTGATGACTTCGTCTTTTTCGCCGATAAGTTGGTCCCGTGCCTTGATTTTCCTTTTGAGATAAGAAACTCTGCCGTGTTCCAGGCCCTCAGCACCTGGGAGCCTTTGCACATTGGAAGGCTCTGGGATATCACTGTTGGACAAAGCGATAGTTCGGTCAACCTTGTGCTTTTTTGTGGCCCTGTCGAAAATATCGCCCGAATTAAACTTGCGCTTGTTATCCTCTTTGTTGATGTCTTTGGGGTTTCCATCGCCAGCTTCCGAGAGAGAGCAATCGTCTGCCGGCACAAAATTTCCATCATACTTGAGGAGTGCCTCCTCCTCTGAGACGTTTTTGGGGAAGAAAGGTCGTGTATCAGGGAACTTCTGCCCCCAAAGCCGTGACATTTCGTCTGCGATGCCGAGGACGAGGCGATGGGATGGCCAAATAGCCGCTACCACCAACCAGGCTGAGAAATTCAGGACTTTTGTGCGTCCTTTTCCTGCCAGCATACAATATAGTCTTGATAGGCCAAGGTTGCGTGGCCTGTCTACCCATTTCTCATGCCTGAGAAACCTGGTGACCTTAAGCTGAATCGCCTTCGGCATGTCGAGACGCATCTGGCTGTAGTTGTCAAGGACACTCTGGACCCGAGATCGAGCCATGGGAGGGTCTTGACATTCTCTGATCTTGTCACGAAACTCTTCCATACTTGGAGAGTAGGGGTCGAGATCAAATTGACCTCTCTTGATGTCAGCCATCTTGATGAACACTATTCGATTGTTAGTATATAGAAGGAAGGGCAAATGATCTCTGAACACAAGGGGAGAGTAAGATATAAGGTATGGAGGAGGAATATGACAGTGCGTTTTGGATCATTTGAGACGATTGCCAAAAAGCTAGAAGAGAAAGAGAAGATAGACAGCACATACCGGATTCTGGCTCTGCAGTGAGCGTTTTGAGAGGTGTGATAAACAGATTTGAGCGGCGTTTGATGGTAACAAGAAGGGGAGAGAGGAACTCACTCTCTGATATGAACTTGGATCTGAGGTAGTAGGGTAGTCTTGCCATGGTGATTATGTGGCGTTTGCTTCATAAATTATCCATTTCTCCAGGAACTACCGATTCTCTATTAACTTATGAAGTTGAGAGACAAATCACATACATCTCTCATTCCCAACCAGAGTTGCTAAAGCCAGATTTGAAAGCACACGTGTCAGTCCAGCTTTAGGGCAAGAATCCAGACGGTCAGTGAATCAGTGGCCCGACAAGAGAGAGAGAGAGAGAGAGAGTAGCCCCAGTCTTCAACTGAAGCAGAGCAAGACTCGTCGACCCATTTGCGAAAGAAGTTCGCCAGCCTGGTAAGACTGCAGCAAAGTTCCAATTCAGGTGAATATCTTTCGGAGTTCTCACCGACAGGCCGCATAAGCCAGTGTGATGAGAACGGGGATAGTTACAGATGGAGGTAGTCATGTCATGGGCCGGCACGTCACGTCCTGTATAATGCGAATCGCGAAGGGGGGAACGGGAGGATAACGGCATTTACTGCAAGCGAGATATTGAGGTTGCATCTCCTGAAGATATTGACTGTTTGTACCATACGGACCGGAGAGTTTTTTATTCTTTTGAGTCGGGCGGGTGTTGCTGTGTGACGATTTTCGGGATGCACGGAGTTTTTGGCAGTTGTACTGATACTGTACGACTACCAATAATAGAAAAGCAAAGATGAGAAAGGTCTCAGTTGCTGATTGCTAGAGTTTGAAGGGTAGTAAATACGACCTGTTACAATTGACAAGGATGAGTTCCTTCGCGAGGAGGGTAAAACACTGCAGGTATCACGACCTGCATTTAGCCCTTGTGTCATCAATCGTACAGAAAAAGAATTGACAGGCAAGCTCATAAGAGACTTCAATCATCGAGAGATTACTCTTTGCGACAATTGATATGAGTGCTGTGTGTTTATGAGTTGGTTTTACTCAAAGACTCGCTCACCCCAACATCGAGAAAGGATGAAACCAAGTCACATGATCAGTGACGTCTGCACGCACAGGTGCTCGTCTCAACTCCACCCAGCCCAACGCCAACAGGGCAGGGCCAGGGGTGTTTAATAACTGATCGAATTGCCCAGGTGCTAAAGCTTGGTCGGCCGGAAGTGGAAGAAAAAGAGAAGACGCCATCTCTATACTGATAAACCAATCCAGAAGGACACAGAAAGGAATAGTTTACTGCTCACCGACTGAATACACCAACTATCGAACCAACTAAAATCTACATGAATCGGACTCAGCTTTGCACTAGTCTACTAGGCCAGGGAGAGGGCTGAGACTACCTACCTTAGTCTGGTACATACATGCAGATAGGTTTTGGGCGCTTAAAATGTCTACGTGATGACAGATTCTCCCAGTGAGAGATGTCCCCGAACTCTGCCTTGCCCTGATCGCTACTAGAAGGAACAGAAGGTTCATATCCAATTGGACTAGGTCCCTGATGCACGGCTCACGATGCCGTTGGTAGCATCTATACAAGAGGCTGACTTACACGGGCATTCCTTTCTGTATAGACCCATAGCTTAGACCTCGAGAGGCGGTGACATCAAACCTCGTGCACAGTCCTGATAGACGCCCACGAGGCGTTTTCATCTCTCCAGAACCCACAATGAGGCTGTAGAACAAAATATATTCGAAACATATTCCTTTGTTGCATCATTGATGGGTTGGTTGTGGCTTTCTCAAGGGCCGTTGTTATGGCCGTGGCGTAGCGTGGCGTAGGGGGTCGCAGATTAGGCCAGAGGATCAGTGTGACTGTTGGTGGGGGTAAACTTAAACCGACGACTTCAACCCTGGCTTCCATTGGAACATGTATGTAGGAATAAAATGTATAATATCATGCGAGAAATAAGATCGAGAACAAGACAGGTCACCATTTGTCCACCAAGTAGAAGCAAAAGTTAAGGCTATTAGCGAGGATACCCCAGCTCTTCGAAATCTCGCCTAAGGACAGCGGAGACATGAGATCCTGGTCATTTCTCTATTCACACGCCCCCAATCACACTCCTTTCCAACTCAATCAAGCAAGGGGGGCACCTAACCCATGCATGTCAAAACGGTTTGTGAGATAAAGTAAAGATGCAATTCAAACTATCAAGGAAAGTAGATAGGTAAGTGTAGAAGTAGAAGAATAAGAACAAGAACAAGAACAGGACCAAAATAACCACAATGATGCCTTCTGAAATCCGGAAATGACTGTATCACCCCCTCATCTGTGCTGTTCTGGGAGTCCGAGTTTGTTGCCAAACAACTCCAGGGATACCACGGTCCATCTATGGATTCAGAAACAAATCCAAAAAAGGTATAAGAAATCCCCTCCATGATCACCATGCGTTTCCACCTTGCGCGGGGCAGTCAAAGCTAGCTTTTACAGATCTAAGAATCTGTTCATAGCTTTTCTCCCTTTCTTCGAGGGTATCGAGGATCGCTATAAGTGACACTCGTTAGCTGCACTGCAGCGTAGAGGCTCGCTTTCAAAGGGAAACTCAGATACCAACCTACTAGGTCGCCCGAGGAGGGTTAGGGCACTGAGGACGTCCACAGTAGCCCTCCCACGTCGTCGAGCCCTGATCGGTGACGTTGCTCGTGCAGCGGCAGGAGGTGCCGGGCTGAGGATCAAGGTTAGAAACAGTGCAGCCACACTGAGTCCAGTGCTGGGTAGTTCTCCAGTAGCACATGGTTGCTGATGGTTTTTAAGTTGAAACCTTGAAGAGTATGCAAGAGAGCTTTTGTCTGTTGTTGAAGCCAAAGACGATGTCTTGGTGCTTCAATATATAGCAGCAAACTGGCGTTGTGCGAGGATTGGTTTGTTTGACAGCCGGAGCTAGTTGACTCAACAGATGGCAGGCGGTTCACAGCCGTGATCCGAGAAGTTTGTGTGAGTATTTGGTCACACTTGTCCCGACGGGTGTGGCTTTGTGTATCTGATGGAAAGAGGCTTTCTGCCGTGGTGGACTATGGAGGATTGGCACCAAAATATGGCTGAGGATTGGGGTTTAAGCTGACGGATAACGAGACTTCGAAAGGAAGAGATCTTCAGAGTGATGATATGGGATATTGAGTGTAGAACAGTGGTTTGAAGTGCTGCTGAGTCTGAGCTGTGAAGTTTCGATTGAGGCAGATGTCCTTGGCCCTTATATAGCTGGTGACACGGTCCCGAGGGTTTGGAAACGATTATGACTGAGCGAGGCAGTTTACTGTCCATGACACTATGTGTACAGGTGTCTTGGAGATTCCACAATGTGAAAGTCGAAATAACCCTCAAAACGAGAGCAAGGAAGACGGATTGTTGGTCCTGTTTGCACTTCCCAGGTGTTGAAAGACCAGGAGCTAGGTTGCTTAGATAGGATGGTTGGTTAGCTACCTAGTCAGTTGGCTCTGGGCCGGCCAGGGGGTGAGGCTTGGAGGGGGTGTGTGTTGGTGCGCAAAATGTACTGCCAGGCACTCCTCTTTCTTCTCGGCCCTCTGTCCCCGCAAACACCACAGAAAAGAGGCGAGGGGAATTCTGGAAAAGGAGACAATCAGCTTGTAAACTGAGATATAACCTCCGAGCCCCAAATCAGGTCGCTTGTGTGCCGCAACACCACGCTCTGTTGGCAGGCTGGTCCAAGGGTTGACTTACGTCAAGGCACATCAGTCCACAAGGGAGTTTTGGGCAGACCAACAGCATTAGACTCCGATACAGGTCTGAGAGCCCTCATAGAATTCCACGCGGTGTGACTGTGAAGGAGATTGTGCGAGCATGTTGGCTTCAATGGGGCCCTTTGTAGAATGGGTCAATGTGCATCCACACTCTGCGGACATGTTCTTCTGCATTGAGGGGAACCACCATCATGCATCTCAAATTCGTCGTCAACATCATGGACGCAGTCAGAGGGGCCAGCAGTTGCGATTTATTTATGTAGTTGGATACGGTTTGCTTGATGCTCGATTGCCTGCCGTGAGCGGTGGCCGGCTGCCACACGCTGCAGCCTGTGAACACTCACTAGTTTAGTTTGGTAATGGCATCGTACAAATTTTCTTCGAGGAGCAGTACAGGTCGGACAACATGATGAGCTACTGTCTCGTAGTCCAATTTCTTGAAGTGCTGCAAAAACTGATGTTGAACGTTTCCTGCATCCGTCATCGAAGGCATGCGTCAAAGATCTAAGCTCCCTTGCAAGCTGATGGCTTGCTCAATGAGCGGGAAAGCTCGTCCCGAGTTCCCACTAGTAAAGCTGCAGGCCTGACGTTCAGATGACAGCCTGTACCCATGCTACCACCCCATTACTCGAAACCCTTCAGAAAACTGAAGCTGAGCCTGGCCAGAGAGTATGTCGCTGGCAACTGGTTTGTTTCAGCAAACAAGTAAGACGGCTTTGCCGAAGTCGCCGTTTTTTGCAGCTACCACATGGACGTGACAGCTCTGTACCTGCCACCCTCCTATTATTGCCTCTCCCGCTGTCGACTTAAATTGGGACCAACAGATACCGGCTTGTGTCATGACGCCACAGAAATTGGTATTTTCCATGAATGCGGGCCCCTGAACGTTCTTTCGATCTCCCAGGTGACCTACCAACTTGTTCTTCGGCACATCTTGAGGAAAATTTCTTCCTTCGTGTGTCTGTTGGCCCGGGTTCTGCTATTGTTCCTTGTCCCTTGGCTAAGCTAAGACGTGAGAGGCGTTAGACGCCTTGTGGAGCTAGCGGATGTTGCACATGATCCGCGAAGAGACCATTAATCCCTATGTAGATTAGGTAGACGACGGGATGTAGGGTCATTCTGGGGTTGTCAAAGGTCAAAGGGTCAGGTACTAGCTGTGTTTGAGATCGAACAAAGAAAGACTGCAAAACCCTGTCAGCCACCAAGGTTTGTACGTATCAACACCATTAGGGAGATGCATATAGTACATGATAGCGGCCTATGTGAGTGGGATTATACATATCGCGCTTGTATCAACGGGTCAAACTCTAGTTACCGAGTTTGACGCGGCGGATGGAAGTAACGTTGTTGCTTTGAGCAATTCACCTCGTCAAGGTGACCTGTTCGGAGTGATGTCCAGGTGGATATGCGGGCCAGATCATGCGCGCGGGCCGCCGAAGGCACACCATGAGAATACCCGCGACAAGCCAACAACACATGTAGATGCCAAGGGCAGCAGACGTCGGCTCTTCCTGATACTGGAAGTATGTTCAGCGATCACCGAGGAAAGTATGAAGAATGTAGCCAACCGTGTATCCACATCTCGTAAAGACGGGGATGATTCCTGATTGTGCGTCATGTCTCTTTGTTCTATACTCCACAAATGGTATTATCTGCGCCTCGTTCTCGACTATCAGGTCGTGCATACGGAAACGAACGACATGGAGTCTGGGATAGCTTCACACAATTCCGCGCTGCTGCATGACTCGATGCACGAAGGGAGAGGTTTGTCACACATGGTTGTGCTTGACCATTCCCTTCTCGATGATGAGAAGTGTGACAAAGCTGTAGTTTGTGCGTTCCACTATCCCAAAGTGCCCCATGTTGTGCCGTGCCATATCATGCCATATTCAAGTTAATATATGCCGGTTTGTCCATTCCGGGTCTTGGGATCTTCATCAGAAAAGTTGTGTGGGTGTGAAACTATACGTCGAGTGACGATGCCGAAGCGGGCCAATATCGACATGGAAGTCAAGGGAGACTTTGATTTGGATGCTGTCTGTTGGTGAAGTGGAAATACAACTGCCGTTGTAGGCTGAATGATGATCTGTAGTATAATTCGTGTACCTTGCAGTATCTGAACTCCTTCCTTACAGTGCTGACCTACCACGTCTGGCATCCTTCTGTACATACTAAAGCAGGTCCGATGGCTTCAACTAGAAGAACTCTTTCCTACTACAAAGTATTGCTGGGCTCTGATTGGACTGAGCTTGATCAGGGAAGCGATTACCCCTGTCATGGGGCGCTTGGAGTTGTTGCTTCGACAGAAATCCTAGATGGAATTGACACTGTACCCGCGGCCATTATACACGCTATTTACACAGTGCAAGTAGGCGGCCGCACATCCCCCCTGTCTGTTCTCCAGGTGGGGGCCGATAAACCCCTGCGCCTTCCTGCAGCTTAGGTTGGGTGTGATGGCGCGCGGCTGTACCTGACCTTGTCTTCACATCAACTCAAAGCGCCTCAACCCATCACAGCAAACCTCGAGCCGATGAGTCGATAATTTGACTCGAGCGGCGTCTTTCTGGCGCGGTTGTTGGTAAATCGACAACTTCACCCTCGGCTGGCCCACCCTGTACGAGACAAACTCCGCTGCGGCTGCGCCTACTACTACCTCTTGCGCCTGCATCTGCGTCTGCGTCTGCGTCTGCGTCTACACCTGCAACCCCCTTGCCGATGCTGTCTTCAAAGGCCTAATTTGTGTTGGTTCGGGTCGTTTTGCGCATGATATTTCACGAACCTTGCGTCTCTTCTTGGTACTTTTCATTCCGGATGACCTCCCGGAGCTCAGAAGCAAGTGGGCAGCAGGCAACACACTAGATCAGCATGCAACAGAGTCTCATCGTCACACTCTCTACGGCCCTTGGCATGAGTTCCTCCGATCTTTTCCTAGGAGCAATACTGTCACGCTCTTCACACTCTGACCGCTTACATCTTGGTGTCGTTAGACCCTTGAACCCCGAAGAGCCGAGGGTGTTGGTGTGTCTGGTATCATCTGCGGCCCTAGGATCTTCCCGTGGGCGACCTCTGATGCGGCCTGATTCCTTCGACGGCCCCCAAGACTTGTAGAGCTTGAGAAACTTCGATAGGCATATTTGTACAAACTATTTGCTTAGTTTCGGTCGGCCACGGTCCGACTTGAGGTGACGACACGCAACCACTATCATGCATCTGTGTCTGCTCCTTTGAGACCCCGTAAAAGCACCCTGGCACATGGCGTATGAGTCAAGTGATTGATACTGCATTCTACCTGCATTACACCTTCCAAGCTTGACGTCTCCCAGACGAGTGTAGTCGAGCTGCAGCCTTGATTACGATCGTCCAACAACAACCTCATCGTCTCACGATACATACCCAACAAGTTACATGCAAAGTGGCTCCGTGACTGGTTCAGTTCACTAAAACACCCTCAATCGAGATGTAGCCGATGCAGAAGTAAGTACTCTAGCTCCAACATCCCTAATTCTCTCCCGTCTCGACTTACTTCAAGGCATGGGGCATGGGGCACGGGACGGCACGGATAAGACTAGCTCTAGCTTTCCTCGTTCACAAAAGCTCGTCACACATTACCCTTGTTTGAAGTGTTGGTCTCGCACGTTTCTTGGTACAAAGAAATTATCGTCATGCATGTATTGATAATCACTTCTTGTGATAACTGCCTAGCAGGGGCGGCACCCACCTTCCCAAGAGTAGTACTAGGTCACCATATCAAGTCAGGAGAACTCCGAAGTAACTAGATACGAGTTGCATATTCTAGTGGGCCGTGCCGTGAGTACGGATGACCCAAGCCGTCAAGAAGCTGTCCGTCTTCCGAAAGTGACGGTGTGGGTGTTAGTGAGCCAGAGTCGCTGCATCGCAACTAGTCTAGTCACCAACAAGAGCTTCGGTTTGCGTCGAAAACTAGTTCGGGTCACGCGAAGTGCTTCCGAGCAATTATAAGTTCCCTGCATGCTGTGGCCGTGGTGACACCGGCTAATGGACTCTGGGCTGACTGACT